CACAGTGCTTCTGAACCAGTGTGTTGTTTTTTTCGACACACGCTCCGGAGCGTCAGCTTCAAGCGGGCCATCACTAGTGTAAACTAAAATGTGCGCACTTATTTTAGAATGCAGCGTTATGTGGATATGTGAATGAATTCTAAACCAAAACCAGTTATTTATTGTTCTGTAAATAAACTCCTATATTTAAAGAAAGAAATGTGAATGCAATGTTACTTATAAGCCTCTACACTAACATGGTGAGATTACCACTGTGTGGCTGTAAGTGCAGCCATCACACCATCTGTCCCTGGGGACTTGTTTAATGCCATTTTCATGACCACCAAATCCGGTTCCTCAATTTTAAACTCTGAATCACACAGATCTTTGAACGGCTTGTCAATACATGGGATGAGATTATGAATCTTATCAAAGAAACTATCAGAATCAGTTGCCGAATATTCTGAGGAGTACAATTTGGAATAAAAAGTGAAGACTTCCTTTTCAATCTTTCTGAAATCTTTACATTCAGTCCCATTTATCAACAAGCTTGAGATTAGATTTCTCTGCTGTCTACACTTTTCCAGCTTACTAAAATATGATGAGTTCTTTTCACCTGCCTCAATCCACTTGGCTCTCGATCTTATAAAGGCACCCTGGGCTTTCTCTAGGTAAAGATCGTCTAATTTAGTTTGTAACTCCATCAATTTATTCTTCTCTTGCACGTTTAGTTTTTCTTTACTACAGCACTGAGTTATTTCACAAAGTAAATTACTTTCATATTCCCGTTTTTCCCTGTTCAGTTCTTTGCAGAATTTTATAGTGAATTCTCTGATTTTGAATTTAATAAATTCCCATTTCTGTATATTACCCACTACTGAGTCATCATACGTTTGTTTTAAGATTCAGAGCGATAAACAAACAAGAGAGAAAAGCCGATCAGCTGATCATTGATCAGTTTCATGATTGAAGTAGAAACAGGAGAGGGAGGGGAGAGAATGAGAGAAGAAGAGGCAGCTGTGCAGCAAAGACACAGAATAACTCCAGCTTTGTGTCTTTTTCATTGTAGCTGAAACACGGGACAAACTGTGTTCCTTTTCACCTCAATACCAAACGCGCAATATTTTCTCTGTATACGAGACGATTCCGTTTTTTACGGGACAGTTGGAAACTCTAATAACTAACCTTATAAATGAGATAAAACAAGTTCAACATCAATAATATCATAGCACCCGCCCAGCAGTATAGAAACGAGTTATTGTAACTGACTGTAAAAAGTCAGCATAACGAAAATAAACTCCACCTAAACTTGGTTTATATCTGACCCAGACAGACTGCAGGTCATAACTTCTTACCTGAAGTTCAGTTCACTGCCTCGGGTCTCTGCTCCTCCTGCCTTTCCATCATTCACCTGCCAGCGTGTTGCATCTGCTGGCCTCCACCACTTGCTAATGTTACTGAATCTGTAGAAGCTCCGCAATAGCCACCACCAAACAATTGAGTTATTTTTACACATCTCCCTTCATCTGGCAAATCCACCAACTTTCAGTGTTTATACCGTTACGGAAAAAACGAAGAAAAAAAACCCCCATCGACCCATAAAAACGAAAAATCACCGCCCGGTGGGCCGATGGCCAGTCCAGCTATGTAGCCTGCAGTCATTTTTTAAGCTCACCTTCAGACGCTTTCTGTGCTGCTGAAGTAAAATCCCGTTTTGCGGCTTAGCAGGAGTTGCCGCGGTGTTATTGTGGAGCAGGGAAATTATTTTACTGCTATTGTTAAATAATTATTATCATTACCATTGCATTAAGAATATAATTTGCAGCATTGATATTGCATTCAGAGGTTTAACAGTGTGTGTCTTTCAGAAAGATTAAAGTCACAGGCTGACAGGAAACTGCAGGCTTGCAGAGAGTTTGCAGAAGTGAAAGCAGAGTCTTAAGTTATTCTGAGCAGCTGGCTAGACGAGGCTATTTGAATTACTAGGTTATTCAAATTGATCATTGCTCTAACAATGTAACAGATAGCTTTAAGAAGGCCTTAAGATGTTTATGCATACAGTTATTATATTAACCTTGAATTCCAGATGCAGTTATAACTATTTTATACACAATGCATATCTGTGCTTATTTTGAGTTGATGTTCAGGTTCAATAAGGGTCTTAAGCTTCACTGGTGAGAGTGTCCAGATGATACATGCTGAGGGAAAACTAGAACATAGAAGGATTGCAATACATGCTTACAAAACACTTATATCAGGTCATTTTATATTAAGTTTTCATTAGAGGTTCTTGATTAAAACATTTATTCAACATAGTACATGTAGTTTCAGTTAGGTTATTGTACCTAAGGATGAGCCTCTGGTCTGGTAAAAGGTCAGAAGTGCAACGGTGAGATGAGAGAGCATGTGAGGTCAACACACACACACACACACACACACACACACACACACACACACACACACACACACACACACACACACACATTAGTTAGATTTATTTATAGATGAAAGATTATTACATATACGAGAGTGGTTTCTGTCTCTCTGTCTGGTTAGAGGTCAGGAGCTAGTCGGCGAGGTGAAATAGGGTGCAATTGTGGTTAGCACACAGACACACACACACACACACTCAGAGAGAATCATTTATAGGGGAAAGTTTAATCATGTTATGCTTTGATGTTGCAAAAAGAGCAGTTTGTCGCACAACTGCTGCTGAGGTGTCAAGATGACAAGCGAGCATCCGGCAGTGACAGGATGTACCTGTTATGAAGATAGAAGACGATGTTCTTTTGAACTGTGTTAAAAGTCATTGTGGTTTTGATTTGACGTATGTATATAATCTGTCTGTGACGTATGAAGGGGCGTCATTAATTTAAACCCTGATGCTATAAAAATCTGTGTATGCTTTGATTAAGTCGAAGATCAATTCCTGTCGGCGAACGGAGCTGGTCTTCCCACGCGTGTGTATTCATTAAAATCAGTTGTTTGACCAAGATCTTCTGGACCATGGTTGTTTGTACTCTCCTTCCTCAATTTTTGAACCTTAACATTATCCATGGATGATGAACAAGAATCACTCAGAAGTGTTCGTCTATGCTCTGTGTCAGGCGCTTCAGTAGATTACTCGCGCTATTAACAGCAGCCGATAGTTTTTTCTCCCCAGGACATAGCTTACATATTGCTGTAATGTTCTTGTCTGCTTGTTTCAGAAAAGTGAAGAGACGGGAATATGTCCATTTCATAAAACAGCCACACGCTTCAGCCGAGTCTGACATCTTCCGCTTTAGAATACAACTATGCAGCAAACTGGTGCGAAATGACGTGCACCTGCACTACAGCGATGTTAAAGCGGCAGAGTTTACTTCTACGTTTAGAAGATAAATTAATTAAATTAAATAATGATATTCAGCGAGTTTAATTATTTTACAATGTAACGCAAGTACATTGTAAGTAACTGTAATTAAAATACCTAAAAATGAACAGTAATTAGTTACTCTACTTTTTTAGTGGAAAAGTAATTAAGTAACGCGTTACTGTAATTTACACCCAACACTGACTTGGGTAATTTACACCCAATTTAGTAACGCGTTACACCCAACACTGACTACCACACTGCAAAAACTCAAAATCTTACCATGTTTTATCAGTTGTAACTGAAATTAGAGTTTTTGTGTTTTAAGCCTTTTGTTTTAAGGTTGTTCTATAGGTAGCATGAATGCGTACCACAGATTCAGATTCATCACAACAGATTCTGCTGTATTTTAATCTGGATCAATGTCTACATGGATCTGCAGTTTATACCTTCACCAGTGGAATGGCTGAAAAGTATAACTGAAAATATTTACTTCTGCACTTTACTTTAGAGACAGTTATTCTATCAGTCCACTAGAGGGGCTCACTGCCTGTGCTTATTTTTCTGTCCACATATTTGCAGTCATATATGAAGTCGCCAAAAACTCCAAACCATGAAGTAAATCCAGCTATTTGGCTTAAAACAAACATCAAACTCAAGCCCCAATATAAATACACATGATTAAAACAGAATGAGCCCCAACATTAAAGACTTTTATGTTTCGTTTCGGGGTTTTTTAATGTCACTGAACTGTGATTGAGATTCAGACACTGTTATCCCCCGTCCTACTAGCAGGAAGAATAGATCTATCTATCTATCTATCTATCTATCTATCTATCTATCTATCTATCTATCTATCTATCTATCTATCTATCTATCTATCTATCTATCTATCTATCTATCTATCTATCTATCTATCTATCTATCATTGAACAATCATTAACAATTATCACATTCAAGTTGTTATAAAAACATTTTTTATTTTTCACATTTTAGAATAATCTGAAGATGTAGAGTTTTTAACTTCTTTATTTTAGTTACTCACCAAAGAAAGCAATACATTACATTATTCATTACATTATTTTTTGCATTACTCTGTAAGAACTGACCTGAAACACACTGACACATGATTAACAACGTCACATCAGAAAAGTGATGTCACGGATGAAGGGAGCAGTAGAGATTTATTTTCCCAGACGTTCATATGACCAGAAGTGTTTACACAAATACAAGAGTTGACTCTTTGCTGATCATTAGAGAAATGCAGACTTAAAGTACTTCCACATAGGCTTCACTTTTCAGACCTGGAAACTACATCCATGGTTTGTATACAAAAGTTTAAAACAGGCCAATCATTAGAGGCACTATTATTTCTGTTAATAAAAGTATTTCAGTTCAAAGATGTCAGTTAAAAAATGTCATCTTCTCATTACAGCACAAACACTTATCGTGATAAGCCTGTAGAAGGAAATTTGTTGTGTAACAATACCAATGGTAGCAAAAAAAACTAACATCATGCGTTAGCCTGCTGTTATTTAGTGTTTCTTATATTTATCAGTTTATAATTCTAAATATTATCCTGTCTTTTTCAAAACCTTTTCTAAAAATAATGTAATAATATGATATACAAGACAATATGTATGTAACAAAAAGTAAGTGATATTCCAGAATCAGTGTGTGAAGAATAAAAGTAAAATCATTATTCAGTGTCTTGTAGAGCCTCCTCTAACAGCAACAACATGAATTTGAGTGTGTCTGTGTGTGTGTGACTTTATCAGTCTCTCAAAATTCATGATATTCAAGATCAATTCTTTGATTTTTGGGCTGAAGGAAGAACAACACTCGGTGTATAAATGCTCAATCAACAATCACTTTAATCCATACAATTCTTATTATTTCATATAAACACAATGCGCAATACATCCGGGATGGGAGATGTGCCTGAAGAGGGTCACAGCAGATCTCAAAATGTCGGCCGTTACTCAAACTCTTATACTCTCTGATGGCCCCCAGCTAGTCATAAAAATCTAAACATCCACATGCTTTCTATCTCTCAGTGAGCGTGACTTATGACCTAGGCTCCCTGTTTTTCTGCTTCCAACAAAGGTGGGGGAGAAGCTCTCATGCAGCATGCTCTGTTCGCTCTACAATCAGAAAAGCAAGGCCATGATTCTCTGCAAACAGTATTCTCTTTATAAATCAGCAGTATGGAATGTCATACAAATCAATCTAATAAATCTAATGATTTTCACATTCTTCTAACTCAGGAGTATAATGCAAACTAAAACTACATAATTATTACACAATCTATAAGAAGAAGTATAATGTGGCCTAGAGCAGTATCATGATTCAACCATTCTTTGATTAAAGGTATAATGTAACATATGACAGTATAATAATCTCACAATATATAAGCAAATACATATCTATATACAGTTAGGACAATTAGAACAATTTCCATAAAAGTTGGACAAATGTATATAAAAACTAATGGAATTATTTGCAGAAAAAATATTGGATAAGTCATTTTCTAAATGACTTTTACTCTTAATTTAGCACCAGTTCACAACAGCAGTCAATTTATATTGTAAAGACCATAAAACCAGAAAAGCTTTTCCATGCATTTCTGTTTAATCACATTCATCTCAAACTGATTCAAAGAAAGCAAAAATGGTAAAATAATGTTAAGAGAAGAAAAACAAGATTGACATTATTAGACATACTGGAACTAGATTGGACTGGACAAGGTTTGGGGGTTTCTAAGAAGTTCACATTAACTGACAATTGCCTCAGTTTTTTCCTATTTCTGTTTTGTTTTTTCCTATTTCCATTGTGTTTTGTGTGTTTTGTAGCGTTTTTCTGCTCACTGGATTTGGATTGGACCGGACAAGGCTTGAATTTTTCTAGAAGTTCACATCGATCGACCACAGTCTGGATTTTTCCAGTGTGAATATTATCATATGTCCCAGTGATTGACGTTGTGTGGATCTCTCCATTACCGTAAGTACGCCTGAGGAGTGCTGTGAATGAGATATCAACTTTTTCTTTGCGCCGAACAGTGGAAAATTTACAGGAGTGGTTTGGTGGCACGGTAAGCACCACAGAGGCAGTGTCAGTCATACTCTCTGTCACAGTGGCTCCCTTTGTAAACTGAAACTGCACCTCTGTGCTGACCTCAATAGTTCCTTCTGCAAAGATTGGAAAGCCAGCCTTAATGGTGGTTTTAGCACCAAACATGATAGAAAAGGTGAAGTCCCACCTCTGCTGCACCTCATATGTCTTTGAGAGTGTCTCTGTTTTCACTACGGGGTGACATTCATGATTGCTGATGGTTGCTTCATGCATGACCTCAGGAGGAAATTTGAAGACTTTAGAATCATCATTGTTGTATCTGATATTGTAGATCAGTTGGCTGATTACATTTTCACTGATGGTCAAGACCTTATAGTTGTTGTATGAACGTTCTTTTGTGATAAAAGGCAAGTACAAAGCCTTATCTTGAGTGGACACCTTCCCCAGTCCATATTGGTTCTTGCCCACATATATTTGCTTCCCTGGGCAGGTCCAGACTGAATTCTTTGGTACTGAACCATACGAACCAGCATTCCACTCCAGGATCTCAAAGTTGTCTTTGTTAACCAGTATTTCAAATTTATAACCTATTTTATTCCTTTTATTACTGGAAAAGGAGCAATATCGACCCTTGCTGGGCGTATAAAAGCCAGCGTCACAATTACACTTACAAATATAATCCACTCGATTAGTATAGCCATTGTAAATCGAGACGGTATGATTAGGAAGAGAGTTGTTCCAGGTCACCCACATCAGGTTAGTGCCATTGATAGGGACAAAGGAGGAAGACTGAACTTGCCTCTTCTGTCTGAAGTTACGAACACTTAAAAGTGGCAGATTTGTTAGCATCGGTCTGTTCACTGAAGTTGGAGGGATGCCACTGGAATCTGTTCATGTGGATAAAAAGGAAAAGGACATGCATGAAATTTTAAAATGCAGATACACAAAAAGTAAAATGATGGAAAAATCATTAACCACCAGAATAAAGGTAGCAATATAAAGATTTTTTGAGATTTTTATTAATTTCTTTCATTTGCATCACTTTGCTTGATGACCAGGTGCTATCAAAATACACCGTATAATAGCATCATTATATAGCATCAATAGGGGAAAAAAAAAACATAATTAAACATAATATATTATCATTTTACTTCTATATATTTCCTTATTATACTATTAAGAGAAATATTATAATATTTCCTTAATATTTAACTTTTTTCCTAAAATGTGATTGTGACAACATGTGTTGGGAACCTAACTCAATATAAGAGGGAAGGGAGGGAGGGGTTGTTTTTCTGCTCTTTTCTTGGAGGGGGATTTCCATTCCAGAGTTTTCCATTCCAAACTGTAAATTTAGCCAAGAGCTGGGCCCAGCTCCAAATAAAGGGGTACAAATATATACTGCTTGGGCGTTGTGCTCTATGTCTGTTTGGCACACTATTCCTTTTACTTTTAAACCCATTTGAAACAGTATGAAATGAAGTTATTAGCCTCTGTATCACATTTGCTGTCAGACATTTGATTATAAGCATATAATTTACCAAATTTCTGCTGACAGTTTGTGCTTACCGTCTTTCTGCTGCGTACTGTTCTCAATGTCATGAGAACTGGCTGAAGACAGAATTAGCAGGATCAGCAGCAACAACACTGGCAAATGTATGTGGGATATGAAAACAGGGGAAAAATCATATAATCAGGAGTGTATAAAATCAATAAAAGCTCTGAACAGCAAAGCTATGAAGACACTGAGTCAAGAGTCTGAACTGTCTCAAGATGGGGAACAGGGCCGTGCAGAGAGGTTTAAAGGGGCGGGTGCTCAAAGTTAAAAAGGGGCACATTGAACCAGGCTGAATAACAACAACACACATTCATCAAGAATCTAATATGGGAAGGGCGGGGCTGTGTTGATCTGAGACTGTAGACATTAAAAAGTCCATAGGAGAGATGGTAGCTGATTAAACAAGTGTCATGAGATAATAACAAAATGCAAAGATTGGTGACAGCGCTTGGAACCATAAGGCAACAAAAAACTGTGAGAAATAATTTAGGCTCTGCCTGTGAATCACTCTTTGCTTCTCTTCTTCCTTCCTTCCCATCATTTCATATATCACTCTCCACTTGCTGTCCATCTGAGAACAAGGCACAACTTGCTATTGCAATAAACTATAATCTAATTATCCACACCTAACAACTCTTGCACTTAATCTATAATAAAATGATGACAGAAAAATGTTATAGCACTGCCTTTAGTAGCCTCACACAGCTCCTACTGTTTCCTCCTCATGTCCTTACCAGCCATGTCTGCACAATGTTATATCATGAGTAATATTTTTTTAAATCCAGCTAAATAAAACACACACATGCACGCACACACAGTGACATTTTAGACCTTCTTAAGAATACTGTATATACTATGGGCATCATGGTGCTGATCCAGAATCCTTACATTATTATTCATTACTAGAGCTACAATAATAAAGCAAAGAGGAGGGGGAAGTAATAAATATGAAATAATGTATTTATGATGATTCCATTTGTTTCACTATCCACTCTGTGCAGGGCAAAGCTTATTACATTTTTAAATTGTAGAGATACAATCATTTTACTGCTGTAAAATCCAACTTTTGTCTTATTTAAAATATAAATCTAATATAATCTGCTTCTTAATGTATGTTCTTTAAAATACAGCGTGTGTTTTTTAATATATTATAATTATAATAATTATTATGTGGACATGCATATTAGATCGTTTTTTAGTGAAATATAATCCCTCCAGAAAGGCAGGAAATGCCCAGAAACTTACTTTAAAACTAAATATGTTTCTAAATACTTTAAAACTAAATATGTTCTAAATACTTTAAAACTAAATATGTTCCCTAAAACGGTGACAGAGCTACAGACCCATGACAGCCTTACACAGGTAGCCAGCAGCTATGACCAGCACTACATGTGCAGTTAATAAAAGGACAGGTAATGTTTGTCGCGCTGTTGCACACACAGCACGCTCGTTTGTTTCAGTTCGTCAGTTGCAACAAGACAGCTCACCAACGTGTACGTAATAAGCTAATACTCCTGTGCTACACACTACAGTGTACGCTGTACACCTACTTACTGGTTTTGTCGCATCAGTCTGTGTCTCTGAGTTTTAACTTGTGTTTCTCCTGCAGCTCCGGACCGCAAAAAATGCGCGTGCTCTTTGTGAGCTCGTTCCCGGCTCGTAACCAGCGCGTTCTGCCGTCGAGGGCGATCATTGGTTAATAGTGATCATGTGACTGATGCAAGCCAGATCCTTTTATTTAACAAAACTGTGATTAATAGTTAAATATTATTGTTGAGGGGCACAGACAGGACTCTGCACGCACACACACATAAAAATAAATAAATAAGAAAAATTTAAAAGTTGCCTCAACAAAAGGGCACTTTGGGCACTCATCAGGAAAGGGTGCTCAAGCCCCTCTAGCCCCCCCCCCCCCCCCCCCCCCCCCCCCCCCCCCCCCGCACGTCCCTGATGGGGAATTTGTCACGGTCAGGTTGACCCAGTATTTTGAGTTATGTTTTGGTTTATTTTTGAATGATTGTTCTTTATGTTTCTCTGGTGCTTTGTTGGGTTTTATGATGAATCTGCCTTTCAAGTTACTTTGGTGTGTTTGATTGTTTCCTTATTCTCTTAGTGCTTGTGATGATGATGATTATGATGATGTTCTATGTTCCAGCTTATTCTGGTTTATTCTTAGTTCTGCCCGTGTTAAGTCTGTGTTTCCTAGTCTGCATCCTTGTGTCTTTTTTTCTGTTTTATTGTGAAAGTCTATGTCTTATGTTAGTGTGTGTGTGTGTGTGTGTAGCCCTGTGTTTTCCTGTGCCCAGTGTCGCGTCGTACCCTCAAGCTGTTTGTTTCCTTGTGTGCCTCTCTGCAAAGTGTGAGTTTATATTTTTCCCAGTTTAGTTTAGTATGCTTTTCCCCTGTCAGCAAATACAGCTGAGTTTTTTGAGTTCATCCCTCGAGTCTGAGTGCCTGCATCTTGGGTCCAACTCCTGCCTGCCACACAGCGATTCATGACAGAATTCCTTTTGAAAGAGGAGCTAAACGTTTACAACCTGTTTTGAAAATGTGTAATGTTTGTTAAAATTGGCAAAGAACACAATAAGCAGTGCTCACCTTCCATCTTCGGTCTGCTTTCGCTTGCTTCAACTGACCTGTGACTTCCTTGTGATTAAGTATGTGTGTGCTTACTTTCTCTTTCCACTCTCTTTTAAAGGGGCCAGTGCGATAAAAGTAGGATGTGAGGGAGTTTCCTGAAAATATTTTGCTGTTATATTTCTGAATGGGGGGAACAGTCTAAACACAGTCGTTATCAGGGTGTTGTTGTTCAGCTCCAGCCTTGAGACCACAGCTGGCGCCGAAGGGGTATCCGCGTGAAATGATGGTGTATTTTACTTTAGTGCGAACAACTCATATGAATTTCAAAGCTGTTCTAACAGTCCGACACTGGTCTCTCAATCTCCCGTTGGAGAGCCGTGAGCTTCTCCATGATGTTATCAAACTTATGCTCTGTGATGTTGTCATTCTTGTGCTCAAAGAGCTGATTCTGAGAACTATATAGTAATGGTGATGCTATTTCCTGGAGAAATATCTGGTGAATTGATTGGACAGGTGGCAGAGAAGAGGCACAAAGAAGTTGTGGGAATAAAGAAAATATTTTACTGCTACATAGCTTTCATCATTATCATTGCATTAAAAGTTAATTAAAAGCTACTGGCATTAGATTAAAACTTTTATTACAGGTGCGGCCATAATCATTTTATACACACATTGCAGGTTGTGCTCATCAAAGAGTTGATGCTCAGTCTATTTAAAGGTCTTAAGCTTCGTTTGGCTTGATGTCCTGACGATCTATGGTGTAAGTGACTCGGTGCAACAGAAGGTTAAAACGCATACACGCTTACAAACACAAAGGCCTGGAATTAATTTTGCTTCTAACTGCATTTGAGTTTGCCTAGTAACAGGTGACAGAAGAAGAGTAAAGAAGAGTACAAACCCTCAGGGACCACCTGGAATGTGAAACAAATTGCCATGTATGGAAGAATGTGATTGAAAGAGGAACTTCATTCTCTGTTTTTAGCTTTTTAATTGACCATTTACTGCAACTGATGCATGTCATATTCATCAGTCACACATGAAGGGGCGGAACCCCGATGAAATAAAAGCAGTCTGAAGGCTATTTTTGGGCGAAGATCTATGCTGATGTGTTGCAGTGTACATCTTCCCACGCGTGTGTTTAATAAAATCATTGTTTGACGGCCCTCTTCTGGGCCAGTGTTGTTTTGTTCTTATCCTCAATATTTAGAATTTGGGACAAAGTCTAATAAGGAAAAATCCTCACGCTTTTGTTTCATTTGAATGATTTATGGTGACTTCAATGCAAAACACCTCTATAACATTGTTAACTATGAAAACACATCTTATGTGTTATGTATATTAATGTGTAAATTAATAATTATGTTCTCTTTTTGTCCTGGTTACATGGATGAAGAAGTCACACATTCGCGAAAAGGAATTTCATCTTAATCTGAAAACAATCCCGACAAAACCAGTAAATGGCTTGCATTTGTATAGCGCTTTTGTCACGGTCCTGGGTCATTTTGACCCAGCATTTTCAGTTCTTAAATTCCTTTGTATTATGGTTTGTATTCTGATCCTTTTGTTATGCTTTGTTTATTAGTATTATTCTGTGTTTTAGTTATTCTTTGTGAGGGATTAGTTCTTAGGTTGTGTCTCTTGTTTAGTTTAGGTTCAGTTCAGTGTCAGGTCTGTGTCTGTTTCTTGTTTCCTGTTTTATTGTGAAAGGTTGTGCCTTGTGTCAGTGTGTCTAGCTTTGCTCCCTGTGTCTCCCTCCTGTTTTCCATTCCCTGATTACTCCCCTGTGTATATAAGCCCTGTGTTTTCCTGTTTCCCCTGTTGTGTTGTACCCTCAACCTGCTGTGTGTTTAGTCTCCTGCTCTGGCTTAGTGTTTCTTTCCCAGTGTTTCAGTCCTTAGTTCCTCTGTACAGAGTTTTGTTTGGTTTGATGAGTTTTAGAGGTTTTTGTCCCAGCAATAAAGCTGCGCTTTAAGTTTGACTTCCGTGTTGAATCCTGCATTTTGTGTCCACCACTCCTGCCTGCCTGCCACACAGCTAACCATGACAGCTTTACTTAGTCCCTACACTGTAAACCCGGATAAGTTCAATACACTTAAATCGTTTGAGGAAACCGATTCCCTTCAAATGATTTGAGTAATCAACCCAAAACAAAAAATTAACTGATTTAGTCAAGTAAACTTAAAAGTAAAATTGTCACAATTTACTATATTGAGTCATCGCTACCTAAAGTGTTTAAGTATTCAATATTTCAAAAATAATTTGTTTAAGTACAGTTAAATTAATATTAATAGAAAAAACTAAATTGTTTAAGTGGTGCTAATATTACAAAACTCACTTTTTTGCGTAGTGTTTAATTAAAAGCGTCTTTTAATTAAATGTATTATTATTACTAAAACTTAATATGTCAAGGCAAACACACTCAAAACCAAAGACCACTAAAGTGTTTTTTGTTTTTGTTTTTTACTTTATAACAAAACAAGACTTTTGTTTTCCTTTGAACAGTATTCCAATTTTTACACATGGCGCTTCTAAGAAGACATTTCTTTCAGAAACAAACACAATATTTCAGTTGTTCCTAGCCACTTTTTGACAAGAATTTATTTGTGGTCTCTGAGGTAGTTTTTTTTAACAGTAAGTTTTTTGTTAGCACAATTGGACTTCCAATAAAACATTTTCTTTAAAACAATCCTTTTAAACAGATAAAACTGTGTATCACAAGTAAAGAACTTTGGTGCGACACTCTGGGTAACAAGTTGTAACAGTAAAACTTATTTTCACAAATATTTTAACTTGGAAAAATAAAAACTATGGAATAATGAATGGCCCCAGCGAGACAATGAAATTAAAGGAATAGTTCACTGATTTTACGTAATAAGATATGTTCTTACCTTAGCTTTGACAAGTTGATGTGTACCAGTCTTGTCTTTGTGCGTGCCCTCAGTCATGCAAATGGAGCAAAGCCTCTCCCATATATTCCAAATACCTCCACTTTTTGCTCCTTTTAGAAGCTACCAAGTTCCCCCATGTTTTCCCTATTTATGTAAAATTACATGAAAAGTGACACTCTCCAAGTTTAGTTTAACTAAATTTAACGTGTGGATTTTCTAAGCCGATAAGAAGGGGTACTATATTACAAGGTGTAATAACACTGTAGGAGCACTTCTTCATCCCCCCAGTAACTCAGTCTATGCTCCAGAGTGCACTAGGGTTACTGCGCGCTTGTAATATAGTGCCCCTTTTTATCGGCTTAAAAAATCTATACGTTAAATTTAGTGAAACTAAACTTAGATAGTGTAACCTTTCATGTAATTTTACATAAATAGGGAAAACGTGGAGGAGCTCGGTAGCTTCTAAAAGGAGCAAAAAGTGGAGGTAGTTGGAATATATGGGAGAGCCTTTGTCTCGCACAAAGACAAGACAGGTATGCATCAACTCTTCAAAGCTAAGGTAAGAACATATCTCAGTATGTAAAATCAGTGAACTACTCCTTTAAGCCCTGGTTTTGCCATCCACTAAAAACAAAAAAAGACAATTACAAACACAATAATGACTTCCTGAACTTGAGAAAAAGCTGCTCAATGAAGAGTGAACATTCAGTGTATCTATGCACACATTGAAAGCTCATTTTTTAGCCTTTGGAGTTTTGGAGGAGGATCGTTTCGTCCCAGATTCAGCATAATCTGCTGGATAAACAGGAATGTATTCTTCATGCACTTTGGGTACTCCAAGTGGAGTGCATAAGTCAGTCCAAACAGGAGACACATTGCCAAAGGAAGACTGCAGATGGAATCCATTACCACATTGTCCTCTAGAAGGATCCCCAGCTGGGAGGGGTTCAGTTCTTGCTCTGGACTTCCGTTTTCACCATTGAAGATGATTCCTATTGGGATTTCAAGGTCACCATCAGCAGCATTCTAGGGGGGGGGGGGACTGTGAGTTAACCTGTTGGTGGAGAGTAACACAAGTATAAAAGGTCAAAGTATTGTATTTCTATAAATGTTGTTTATTATTTAAGTACAAGTTAATTGTTCAAATAAAAAAACAACAGGAAATTTTGGGGAATCTGTAAGGCTTATTGTCATTAAACAACTGTATAATGAAGTTTGTCCTCTGCATTTGACCCATTCTTCAATGTTGATAAGGCAGCAACCCGTCAAGAGAATGGCGCTGCAGCGGCGCACATGTTAATAAAGTAAACTTTACGAGAGGCCGTACAGGTGCAGAGGAGCGGTGTTCAGCCCCTCGAGCCTCAGCGAGGGGCTGAGCGTCAGAGCGCGGCTGTGCAGAGAATAATGACAGGTTTATTTGTCCGTGTGAACGGCTGGAGGTGCCCGGCCGTGCTCTGGTCCTCCTCCTCTGACCGGGGCCGGAGTCCGGACCCGGGCTAACCCTGAACACGGTTTGGATGTGCTCACATCACACAATGGAACCGCGCGGTTTGGATGGACGAGGAAGATGCTAGAACCATTACGCATGAGCAGGGGTTAAGGCTGTGAGGGTTACAGCCTTAAAACATTTATAATAAATACTTTTCACTACTTTGCGGATTTCACTTATTGCGGGTTGTTTTTGGGACGTAACCCCCGCGGTAAACGAGGGTTCACTGTAGATTGAATTAGCGTGCACATTTGCGTAATGTAACATGCAATTATTTTTGCTTAAAGTTGAAATAGAAAGATTTAACTCACCAGTGTGCGTGGAGGTTTGAGGAAAAGTACTCCCTATCGACTGTAGACTGAAACAAACATGTCCAATCCCAGGCAAAACCACCAAAAACGACTTGTCTTAATTTTTCCCGACAAACAAGTCCAGACGTCTCTTCGGTTCCAGTGCCGGGAAAAATATGGGAGGGGCAACAAAAACTTAAAAATAGTGAAAGTGCTTTCAACTAAACATGATCAGTAAACATCAAATTTACTTTTATTATTTGAGTGTTGAGTTTAAAACTTATTCTCTTATAAAAAATTGAACTTAAACTATTTATTAGAATAAACTTAAAATAGAAAGGACCATGTTAAATGTATTCATTTTAGTGCATCACATGCAAAACAATATAGGTTAAGTGCAAAAAGCTTCCACCAATGAGTTCTGTCTGACACAGTTATATGATTTTAGTTTTACAAAGAAAATTTATTACCATCAGTGATTATAGCTAAACCATTTGAATGCAAATAACTTTTGGGATTACAGTGTATGGACCCCAAAGCGCTTTACACTACATTCAGTCATTCACCCATTCACACACACATTCACACAGTTTTCTTTGACCAGTTTATTGCTCAAAGTCAGTATCCAGACAGTGAAAGTGCACAGTCTGCTTTATGATTCAGCCATAAAGCAGCTATATAAACCTGGAGGTGTCCCGAGGTGGACTCACCGGAGAGCGACAGTAAGGGTGAGTGCTGATCAGCACATTCATGCTCAAATTTCTAATGACAATAATCTGACATATTCAGATGTTAATTTTCTTTTAATAAAGTGGGATATTTCATTTTATTTTATAAATGTATGTCAAGTAAAAATCTAATCAGATGTGGCAAGAGGAACTCTACTATTTTAATATATAGTGTGGTTTTAAGAAATGCTTTAATATTACCATTTTAAGGCAATAAGTCATCAAATGTAAAGTTATTTTATATGCTATATGTGTGTTTATAACTTCCACCTGACCTATAATGGAAATAATAGTATGATAATATATATTTATATATATTAATTTATATATTTATAATAATATAAATTTATAATGCTTTAAATTTGTATTTGTTTTGTTTCACTGATGCATACTACTGTCATAAATACTGTCTCTTTTGGGTCGGAGGGATGGGGGGAAATGTAGAATAAATAGACCCAATACACCCAAAAATGTAACATAGAAGATAAACTACATATAAAGCGTTATTGTGGTGGCACAGATGTTTATTTCTTCTATATTTTGGGGGTTTTCAGTGAAAATGGAGTTCACTATGTTGGATTCTAACCTTTCAGAGTAAAGTCAAAAATAAACTGCTGTAAATTTAGTTCTTTGTCGTTTAAGGTGTTTGACACTGGTGAAGATAAAAATTGTAATAACTGAAACTAGCTGAAAGAAAGAAATAATATTTGAAACTGTAAAATATTACACTAATTTGTCATTTGGATAGCTGGATTGGTGGAATAATATATTCTGATGTTAAAGATTTAGTTTGTAAAAAGATCTCATAACTTAGAGGTTTTGTGTTTCATCTTCAGATGAAGCTGTCTGTGTTGTTGCTCTCGGCCCTGCTGGCTCTGTCCTCAGCCAGTCTGCAGGACATTGTGAAGAAGAGCATACAACTCAGAAAAGGTAAGCATATCATGCGTTTTATGACATATTGTATAGAGATATGGATAACAGCTTTGTGTTACACCCATAGTAACACTTAAACCAAAGTAAACCTGAAGTGTGTTGCGTTCAACATCCAAAGATCCCCCACAAAAATGTAGTTTCTGAATATTTTGCATATTTTGTAGCTAGAATAAAAGAAAGGAAAAACAACCTTAATTCAGGATCATTCAAGTGTTAAGAGGTTAAAAAGAGATTAAAGCTTGTTGCCTGAATTGAGGTTGATGTGTTTGACACTTATCTCTTCTGTTTTATGGCATTTTTTCTTTTCTTTGTCTCTCTTATATAGTGTCCTTATTGAAACCAGAGGTGGAGGGCCGGGTCCCTGAACCAACTGGTAACAGAAAGGTGTTGGGTCCTCTAAATCCTGCTGATCTGGAGCAGCAACAGGATCTGCCTTCCTCCTTCCTCTTTGGCGATAATGTCAACCTGCAGTGGCTGACCTGGGATGGATCTCTGCCCAATGGAGCCGTTTCCATCTACAACGGCTATACCGAGCGTATTGACTATGTCTGCAAGTACAAGTGTGAGGCTGGCTTTTATAACCCTAACCTGGGTCCTTACTGCCGCTACCCCTATGGTGACCGTGAGTATTACGCCCCTGAGTTTGAGATCCTCGCTAACAAGGACAACTTTGAATTCCTGGAATGGAAGGAAGGCTCCTACGGTTCACTGCCACAACATTCAGTGAGGACGTGTGCAGGAGTTGACATCTACGTTGGAAAGAACAAGTACGGTCTCGGGAAGGTTGTTCCTCAGTTTGAAGCCTTCTTCCTGCCCTGGGAAGGTGATGAGTACTGGTATAAGAATTACCAGGTCCTGGCCATCAACAGGGACACCTACACCCAGCACATCTCTGATGTTAAGTACGGCATTGATGAGGTCACCATCTTCCAGTATCCTCCTGAGACCATGCGTATCTCTGGTATCACCAACAATGAGTGCCAGACAGTGGTGAAGACAGTCACCATCACAAAGACCTCAGAGGTAGAGACTACCTGGAACATCGGACGAGCCACGATGCTTGGTGTCACGGGCAGCATCACAGCCGAAATCCCCTTCATCGGCTCCGGGGGCATTGAGCTTGGTGCTGAGAAGACGCTGCAGTTCTCCAGGGGAACCACCGTAATCGAGACGCTCAGCCACTCCGTGTCTGTGGAGCTCAGAGTCCCACCAAACCACACCTGCAAAGTCCGCATGGAGGGACGCAAGATCAAAGCCGATATCCCCTACACGGCTCGCCTCAGCCGAACCTACCGCAACGGAGAAACCCAGTGGACCACCATCACCGGGACGTACGACGGCGTCCAGATCGGAGAAGTCCGGGCAGTGGTGGACCGGTGCGAACCTGTCATAGATGCCAAGCCTTGCCCCTAAAACCTGGGAGAAGATACACGAAATAGTATTTTTCTGATCTTATCTGGTGATTGTGATAATGGAAGCAAATGATATGTCACAATAAAAAATACCACTCATGTCTTTGTTGGTAAATTTAAAATATCTTTCATGTGCGCAAGTGTATGAATTTATTCAAAAATAAAGCAATTTGGCACGTTTCTCCTGTTTTCTGCATTTTGTTAATTTAGCTCATTAAAATCAATCACCAGAATGTGCCAAAAAAAGGGTATCTGGACAATTGAGGCCAGATATGTACTCAAGCACGGTTTTCTATTTCTGCTATATCATTTGTAAATTGGCACAATAATTGATCTACTTTCAATAAAGACATATCCCTCTATTAACCCACAGCATAGCAAACATAGTACTATTTCAGATTCATTAGAAGGCATGAATTAATTTTTTTTAAACTAAAGTGAATTGAATGGTACTTCAACTATTTATTGTTAACATACTTTGATTATTATTATAAGCAGGCGTATATTTGAGTCTAATTTTTAAAATGATGCATTTGTTGCTTGCAGGTTTTTCTCCATTGTTTCAGTGGGGCTCATGTTGGTGTGGAAATATAAACTTTTAAAATGCTTAGGGAAAAGTTAAATCAGTCTAGAAAACAAACAAAAATCATTTAAGTAAACCAAGCTTGATGTACATAATTTCTAACGTCTCACTTCTGGTGCTTTACATCCCGGTGTTTTAGAGTTCCCTGCACTGTCGCCTTAGAAAACTTCAGTTACAGCCATGATCTGACACAAAGAAGGTCTCTCTTTGCTTAGAATAATTATTTGACTTCTGACACACAGTTCTGATGTCATGCCTCTCATTATTACAAAGCTGTAATTCTAACAGGTGAACCAAGACTACAGGTTGAGTTACACAATTGAAAAGTTTATCTTTATTTTCACTGTCAGAACTTGTGTTTTTAAAATGTTTCCTAAGTTCTAAAACATTCAAATTTCTCTTTTTGGAAGAAAATATTTACCCACAGCTTTCATCTGGTCTCACTGTAGCAACCCAAGGCAGCATCAGTATGGGTTTATAGGCATAATAACTCTGTGATAGGCCCTGGGGTATATATATATTTTTCCCTTTATATTATTCAGTTCTTGGTTAAACTTTTATTCACAATTCACATTAGTATCATAGATATAAATGTGTTTTGGTAGAAGACTGAATAAGCGGAAAAGAGACATTAGTTCAGTCATTTTTTCAAGACAGCGATGCAAACTGATTTCAAACATGGGTAAGAAAATAATTTGTTGGTGTTGGACAACTACAGAAAAACTTTCTGGAAATGATGTGCTAACACATAGTAGAGTTTTTAAAAAGCGCTTTTAATTTGTTTTGTAGCACAATTCATTATCCAGTTTTGACAATGAATAAAATAATCATTTAATTTGAAACTGTAAATCACACTGAGAACATTTAGCCTCTATTGTGTGAAAATAAAATGGTGAGACAGAAAAACATCATCAGCTGTCTGACTGAATAACTGCTTGGCACGCTCACTGATATAGGCTGAATCTGAATAGCATAATATAAATGTTCTTTACAGACAGAGACTGAATGCTGAAGCAGCTGAAACTGGTGACTGTGCAGTTTAATCATTGCAAATGACCTTTGCACAGCCTTGTTTGATACACAGTCCTCATTCAGACCTAAATAAATAAATTGATAATAACTTTCTGTCTGAAGGACGCACAGAGATGGCCCTGACATCAGCGATTTTCAATGATAGCACTGTGTGTGGAGAACAATGTCCGTGCTGAGCGGCTTCTTCTCCAGCTGAATCTTGGCAGCCAGCGACATTATGCAACAAGGCCCGTCTTAATCACTGACCCGCTATTACAGGAGATCTAATCAACTTGTTCTCTGTCCGAGCTTATCTGAACGTACAGGATCTTTTCATCAGCGGCGAGAGAGAGGCCACAGCACTTTGGACATAATGTGATCGAGTAGATACGGCACTTTTAACGATCTTATTAAATAAGAGCAAGGATCAATAAGGAGTCCTGTTATCATCAGGCGCATGAGGACTTTTGTTTCCAACACTCGTGAGCTGCAGGCTTTCAGGTCAAGGTCAACCACAGCCATCCATTCATGAGTCTTTAAGCTGACCTAAATTCTTTGCAAATTTAAGGAAAACCCTTAAATCTTGACTTCCACAGTGAAGGGAAACTGTGGCTGGCATGTTTTGGGTTCTCACGGTGACTAAAAACCAATACAACAGATGAAAGTGCTCCTCATCTATAGGCCAAGAGGGGTTTGATGAGGAAGACAATGCTGTAAGCTAGGCTCCTCATACATCTGTTGGAGTTTTGTACACTGATAAAAAGCTTTCATCAAACACCAAATGATGGAATATCTCAGTGTCTTGATGTTATTCTAAAAAAATAATCAGTCCACAAACCCCCTCAGGAGCAGCTCTTTTTTTTGCACAGTACATTGAAAAGTTTCGCCACATACTATTAAACTGTTCCACATTATCTAAGTACCTGACCTGTCCCTATGTACGCACATAGGTACGAGTGAGTTCACACAATTTTTCCAGCATTTCATCACTTCATAGAAGATATTAACAATTCATTTTGAGGGCTGAAAAAATGTAAGTTGTTAAAACAGTGCAACCAAATTAGTTTTCTCCTTGGGTATCACAATGGAAAAACAAATTCTTTCTTACTTCTTTCAAAATTATTTTACTTATAACCAATTTTCAATTCAAGTTTCAATAGCAAAACTGCACCAATTCATCATCTGCATTGTAAAGTAACAGAAACAAGCATTCGTACCCTGGATGTTTGACCTATTTTAGTTTTTCAAATCCTCTGAGCAGGCAGAAGACTTCATGACACTCACAGCCTCTGTAAGACTGTGTCCTTGAACAAGACATTAAAGCTGCCAATTGGCTGTAACTGTCAGTATGATTACACACCATATGAGTGTAACGGTATGTTGCAGAAGCTCAAACAAACTCAGTTAGTTTTCCTCCCTCCATAGAAGTTTGATTTGAAGTTTCACGTGCAGTTTTTTTCTCTTCAAATCCTTCGATAAAAACATTTTGATTCAAAGTGAGCTGCAGGACAGCAAACTGTGAACCAGACAGACGAGAAGCTTTATCTCTCCTGTTTATTGAGGGCAATAAGTCTGAAGGGAGGTTTTAAAGCTTCGCACTTACTGCAGGTAAGAGTCACTGCAGAAGGAACCTGTCAAGGTAAAAAAAAACAACAACAAAAAAACCCAACTTCTCTATATCTGAATGAACGGCTGCTGTGGGCTTGAATTTAAGGGGTTCTGTTTTGTTTTTTTTATCTCTGTCTTATCTGTCATGTGAAATCAATAAACAGATCAACAAATTTCAGGTCAAAATCTTTCTTACTTTTTGGTTTTATACTCGGCATTCAGGGATGATTTCTTAAGTCTGATCTTCATTTAGTAATCTTATAAACATACAGTAATGGGACACTCAGTTTATAATTTACTGCCTTAATTACTAATTTATGTGACGCTAATCCTGCTGTGATATCCTGCAGATGTGACTTTCTTTTATTTCATTCACTTACCTGAAGTAATTTCTTTACATTGTATGTAAGGGCATGTGATACTGGTACAATTTAGATTCAGAGCTGGTTCTTTTTTCATTCATTTGGTTTCATTTTTAGAGAAAGATTTCTGTAAATGGGGATTTATATTTGATGAATTGTAGCAACATAGCTGTGTATATATGTCCAGTCATTTATAAACACCAGTGATCTTTACATAAACAACAAAATAACAGTCTTTTCTAACAATACACTATTTAAATATATATATTTTAAAGTACACAAGCTAAGTCAGCTGTGTGTGTCAAAGGCTCATCACAGACAGGCAGAGTAATCAGCAAAGTGTTGTATATATTATGCATACAAATGTAAAAGTTTATAAATGCATCTTATTGTATAAAGTTCTCACGTCTGTTTTCTGACTAAATATTTATATCAACAAACTAAAAGTCAAGTAATATAATTTTGATTGCCTCGGACATGAATAATAATTCTTTCAATGTATTCTGACTTGTCCAAAGCAGATTACTGGTAAGTATTCCTCTATATCTGTTTAATTAAAAATAAGCAAAAAATTAATTGGATTAAATTTGACTCCTATTTTTAATAGTTTTCCATTTTTTTCCATTGATTTAAAACTGTGTTGACCACATGAGTTTTTAATGGTTGTTTATTTTTAGCTTTTAGAAGTGTACATTTCCATGTTGCAGCGTTCGCGCACAGTGATTGCCAACTGATGATGACATACTACTGCTGGTGTTTCTTTGTGTGTCCAGATGAGGTGGTGTGTTGCTGTTCTCCTGGCAGTGCTGCAGCTGTGCAGCCCGGCGCTACAGTCTGACCCGCTGCTCTACGTTTTCCAGCTGCAGGATAGGGAAGAAAAACCCAGCAGTCAGTCACATTATAATCCTACAGTTTATCACAGCATGTTACTTTAATGACTACATGACTCCTCCCACTAGAAAAATAAGAACCGTATCTGAGCTCCAGTTCTAATCACTTGCACCTGTGATTTCAACACTCGAACTTGCACACAGCTGAATCATCTACTTCTGTGTCAGACTGATAAAACCTGTATGTCAAGGATCATCAGTGTTCGTGAGAGCAAAGTCTGCAGTTTGAAGACTTCTAACTTTTAAAAAATGCATTGCTTAAAAATGTGTTTTAAAATTTATTTAGGTTTTTCAGGGGAGAAGAAATTACACTGATAATTTAAAGTCTTAAAACTTAAATAAACTCATGTATCAAATATGACACACTGGGCATTAAGGGGTTAAAGCACTGGAAAAGGGAGATTTTTCTGGCCACACCAACCCTACTCAGCTTTCTTGGCATATTTGGCTTTCTTTATTTTAGTTTTTTCTCATTTTGTTTCCCCCAAAATATATTCAAATGATGCATTGGTCTTTTGGCTCTGTAGAACATGTCCAACTTGCATCCGAGATGTGTAAGTCCAGTTAGTCAGGCAGGGACTAAAAATAAGAGGAATGTTGGAAAAGGTTCAGAGGAAATAGCAACCAGGTTTAATCTAAGGGATTGCTTTGTAACACTTTTTCCCATCACCTCATGTATGGTGTTATGGTGCGCTCATGTAAGGTTGTGTTAAGATTGTGAAGGTGCTGAATTTATATTAAGACCCTAACCCAATAACTGTCACTAGTGGATACACTTTCACCCTCACGGTGCTTAAAAAATAGGTATGAAACTACCTGATGTCAACAATGTTTCTTTCTGCTTAACGCTTTGGTTGAAAGCAAGTGTCAGTCTTTCATTCAAACTCGATTCTGCTTTTTTTTTTTTTTTTAAGAACACGTCTTAACAGTTTTGGTAGTAAATGTTTCAAATGAGTTGAAACTTTTGTTTGTCTAGATTAAATCCTACAGCCACTATCTTTCTATATTGTCTTACAGAGCCATGGCTTAACCCCACCTTGGGAAATGTTGTTCCTTCCCGGGGAGCTCTCAGCCCCCCTAAAGTTGTAGAAACCTCAGAAACTGAGACGACTTCACACTCAAGCCCCATGTTTGGCGAACATGTCAACCTTAGGTGGGTCACATGGAGCGGTTCCCTCCCAAATGGCGCTGTTGCCATCTTCAACGGCTACACCGAACGTACCGACTATGTGTGCAAAGTCAACTGTGAGGCTGGTTTCTACACTCCCAGCAAAGGGAACTTCTGCCAGTACCCCTACGCTGACAAAGAGTATGCATCCTCCAAGTTCGAAGTCCTGGTTAACGTGGACCACTTTGAGTTCCTGCAGTGGGTTGAAGATTCATATGGCTCTGTTCCTGAGTATGCCATCAAAACCTGTCCCAACTCAGACATATATGTGGGTAAGAATAAGTATGGTCTTGGTAAAGTGGTGACCAAACATGAAGCCTTCTTCCTCCCCTGGGAGGGGGATGAGTACTGGTACAAAAACTACCAGGTGCTTGCTATCAACAGAGACAGCTACAGCCAGCATATCTCTCATGTAGAGTATGCCATTGACCAGATGGAGCTGTTCCACCATCCTCCAGAAGCCCTGAAGCTCACTAAGGTCGCCAACCTGGAGTGCAGAGATGTGGAGAAGACAGTGACACTGGAGAAGACCAGTACAGTGGAGAAGAAATGGGACATCGGCAGGGAGACCCGCAATGGCTCTGTGTCCACCATGACAGCCAAAGTTCCTATCTTTGGTCCGGGTAATGTGGAGTTGTCCAAGGAGCAGACGGTGACCTTCTCAAAGGGGACCACCATTGTGGAGTCAATCAGTCACGCTGTCTCTGTGGAGCTGCTGGTCCCACCCAATCACTCCTGCACCGTGAGGATGGATGGCAGAAAGATGAAGGCTGACATCCCTTTCACCGGCCGGCTGAGCAGGACCAACCACAACGGAGACACCCACTGGACCTACATCACAGGCACCTATGACGGCGTGAGTGTTGGCGAAATCAATGCTGTGGTGGAACGGTGTCAGCCAGTGCCTGATGCTGTCCCCTGCTCCCCAGATCAAAACTGATGATGAGTCTGCTGATGCTTTGTTTTTCAAATAAAGCGCAATCAAAATTCAAGGTGAATCGTTGTTTTGTATTCTTTAATTTTTGGAGGATTTAAAAGAATTTTGACTCATCGAGCTCCAAAGCCCTACTGCTTATTTTGATATCTACACACTAATTTTAAACATGTAGCATCAATCTTTTAGGATTACATGAACTGCTATAGTTTACTTCCTATGTTGTGCATTTGGTTGCCTAACCAATAAACTTGCAAACTTGTTCTTCGTCTTCTTTCAGATGCTTCCTTTAGCAGTCACCAAAGCAGACCATCTGTCTCTATCTCACCCTATCCCTAGCATCTTCTTCTGTCACACCAGGCCTCTGCATGTCCTCTTTCAGTACATCCACCCATGATCTGTCACTGTGGCACTCCTAATAACATGCATTACATTTTGCTGTTCATCCGTTGATGAAAAGTTTCCAAAAGTTCAAGTGAAAGGGAAATTGCCAGAAATTGGGAAACTACTGTGTTCCACCACAGCCACGGCCATTAAACACAACAACAAAAAGTAGTTCTAAATAGAGAAGATGAAGTAAAATAAAGTAAAATAAAATTCAGTTTGTACATAAAAACACATTTCGATAAATGTAATCAAAACTCGTTTAAATTAAATATTTATTGAAATGTAAATAGTGTTAAAAGGTTCATTGTTTGCTATTTTCAGTCAATAGACTTCCAAATTTGTGTTTGCTGTAATAATCAAGTCGCCGAGCTAGATGGCGCTGTGTCCCCACAGAGGAGAAAAAGTCTGTCCGCCATGTTTTCTTGCTAGCGCTCGTTGAGCGGTTGGTAGCATGACAGGAGGGCAGGAAAAGGTTACTTTACATTTTAAAGACTGGCAATAATTACGGAAATTCTTATGATTAATTACAAACAGATAATAAATATCTGACAAAGTTACAGTTCATATAGTGAACCCCAGACGAAATCGATGAATTGACAGAATCGACATGAATGCCCGAACAGGTACTGTTGCTTCATGACTGTAAATACATGTGGAAACGCCTGATTTCTTATTAACTGTCAAGAGAAGACAATCGGTTCTATGAGCCGAATGAAAAAGGGCTCAGTTTTAAGTAAGTTTTGCCAGTATTTGTTAAACTTTTTCAAGAAGTTGATTAACTTTCTAATGATGCGACGACTTTTGACGAGAGTCATAAACAGAGTTCTGCTGAGTGATCCGTTTTCACCTGCGATGATAATCGAAGCAGAAATACACAATCAAGGCCGCCGAAAGATGGTAAGTGTTGAACCTCGTAATCAGCTACATACTGTCTACTACACTCCAAGTTCTCGGGCAGCTGTATGTGTTTATTGCTATAGGTTTTGTAAGCCCCTAAAACCAGTCGTCAGATCTCGCCAAACTCCATTGAAAGATCTGAGAACTTAAAATTTTTGTAGGGTTTGTCATATTGTTCATCAACTTACTACATTTTCAAAACACTTACTGAGTTACTCAAACCCCCCTTTGTAATTTGGCGTAATTGTCCTTAAAGTAATTACTGGTTAATGTGGGGATAATTTTAGAAGGAAAATGCTTTCTGAGCCAGCTTGGGTCTTTCCTTATTGTTGTATTTTTTTCTATTTTATTTTAATCAGCATATCTAACAGTTTTATTTTAAAATGATGTCAGCTGTCCTCCCCTGTGTTAACTTGTCTTTGCCTTCATAGGCTTTTGTTAAAAATGAATGAAACCTCAATAAAGACCCTACAGTGTTTGCAGTTTGTAACATTACAATGTTGTCTATAGTTGTTTTTCCTGTTAACAGAGCTGTTACTGCTGCCAGTGTATCAGTACCATCAATACAAGGCAATGGCTGTATATTCTACGTGTCCAAAACACAAAATATCTCGTGTTTCTGTTGTTGTTGTTTTTTCCCCCACTTAAAAACATGATCACTGCTCAGATGAAGCAAATACCAAATGAACGAAATTTACACTCAAGTTCAGTTATATCGCTGAAGTTTGTGTTAATGAGTTTTTGGTCATTTTTAAGTCTAAATCTAGAATCTCTCTGTGTTTGCATCTAGCTCCAGTTTAAAAAAGCTTATTTACTCAGTTGCTTTTACTTTGTCTGAATATATGTGTAAATATATATAAAAATTCAACAGTCTGCTTCCTTTGACTCAGACAGTCTTCTGTTCCTGTAGCTTCACTGCAGAGGTGTATGCCTTTAACTGTGTGTCTGCGTTTGCTTCAGGTGGTGGGGCTGGGTAATCCGGGGATGGAGGGTACCAGACACAGCGTTGGTATGACAGTACTTGGTGCTCTCGCTGCCCGGCTCGGTGTGGCAGACCGCTGGCGTGGCGACAAGTACGTGTCCGGTGAGGTCATTTTGTCAGAAATCCAGCAAACGAATGTGGTGCTGCTTCGTCCCCGGCTGCTGATGAATGTCAATGGAGTATCAGTGGCCAAAGCAGGTGAGGTCATTTCTGTCTTTGTAAGTGATTTTCATTAAATAAATTAGGCTTTTTTTCTTTCTTATCATCAGCTGTGAAATGTGGCATGTCTCTGCACAAGCATACTGAGGTGGTTCAACCTCCGTCATCTGTCTCTCAGGCAGCCAGAAACAATTCAAGCTGGAAATTTAACTCCATTGAGGTTCAACCTGTGTTATTCAGCCCTGTCACTATATCAGACTTCTGTCTATGTGATTGAAAACAATCAGTGAATTATATTATTGAATGTAAAGAAAATTTAGTCCATGAATTGGAGACTTGTACAATATTTTATGTAGAGAAGCAGCTGCTCAGACATGCCTTGGATGGATTCTGAGAGTTCTGTCTACTCATTCCTGCTTTTATAATATCATAATTGTAGGAGCCATTTTTGTGTTGTTACCTTATGTGTAACATTTTTGTGTTTTCACAGGATGTTGTGTTTATGGGACTGTATTTAAGGTAGACGTGTAATTAGCATCAGGTGTTGTTGGTCAGAAGAAGTGAACAGTTTGTGACCGCTGCGCTGTTGTGAGTTATGTTAAATGACGTTGGATACTAAGAGAACTGTTGAACAACAAATACAACCGATGGAATGCAATAAAGATGTTAAACAGACAAGATAAGTACGGCTCGAGTTATTGGACTATGTCAAGTTTCATTCCTAACAGTGGCACCGCATGACCCCCACCATCGAACACCTCAGTGGCTTCAGGCGTAGGCTTAGCCTCTACAACAATAATAAAAATGTTCAATCTCACAGAAAACCAAAAAGACTCGACCACTTCACGCGGCCTTCATTGGACATCGCTTCTGCTGAGAGGAGTCTTGTGTTGATCTTCTGATTGTGTGCTCAGTTTGCTTTAGGCTGAATAAAGACTTTGACACATCTTCTTTATTTTACATGTGAGAACTTTGATTTTTATTATTCTTATTTCAGACTTTTTGACAGTTTACAGGTGTACGTGATGTCTGTGTGTTTATTTTACTTGCACATTTATATGAACAGAAGGAAGCTCAAGTTCAAAGTGTTTAAGGGTTCTGTACTAGTAAAGTTTTGTTATCCTGCTATATTATTAGAAGCAACCAAACTAAGAAACTTTTTTTTGTATGTTTTGATTTATTTAGCTGCCAAATATGGCGTCAAGGCTGAAGATATCCTGCTGGTCCACGATGAACTGGACAAACCTCTGGGGAAAATCGCCATCAAACATGGAGGAAGCGCCAGGTGGGTCATCCTCTATCATAGTGTTGGGTCTTGGATTGCTTCGGACTCGCCGCGATCTGTTTACATCACCAACAGTATTCATTATCTTAAGCGATGTATTGACAGTGGTGAGGGAAAGCAGTCACTAAAGTATCGTCAAGGTACATTTAACATTAACTTTAAGGCCAATAAGAACAAATATATTTCTGCGTGGAAGTGCAAGTGCGGCTTTTAAACTGCATTTGCACTCATTCGTCCAAACTTTCAGACTGGAAAGTTTCTGTCTTCATGGGGAAAAAACAACAGCAACAAGGCTCCACTATATTTTAAAGACCTGACAGTGTCTTGTCCCAGTAGAGCACTTCTCTCTCACACTGCAGGTTTACTTTAGAGCTTCCAAAAGTAGAATAGGAGGCAAAGCCTTCAGCTTTCAGGCTCTTCTTCTGTGTAATCAGCTCCAGTTCGGGTTCAGGAGACAGACAGCCTCGCTACTTTTGAAACTAGGCTGAAAACTTCACTTGAAACTTATTTTTTAATCAAACCTGGATCAGATGGAGGGATCAGGTGACCTCAAAGCATCCATTAGTGATGCTGCTATAGTCTCAGGTTGTTCAGGGACTTCCCATGATGTGCTCAGCACTTCTCTCCACCCCCTTTATTCACTCCCTGTGTGTTTATGCGTCACCACTGCAAGTCATTAACTCGAGTCTTCTTTCCTATGCAATTTGTGTTTGTCCTTATTCTCTCTATACTCTCCTTTTTTCCACTTCTCTTTTATCTGTTCTCTCTAATATTTTAGGGTCTTTACCTTTCACTATTAAGCAATTTGAAGCAACTGCTGTTGGGAATTGTCTTTGTGCACATAAGATTGAATTCTCAACACCTCAGTGTTCAAACTTGGAGCATGTGTGAGCTGCCTGAGCTCTGCCTGCTGTAAACCTTGGTGTCTTCCCAATGTCGAGACGAGAAGACAGAAGCAGCACAACCAGAAATAACAGCGAAGTGAGGCCTGTATTTTAAAACCAACAAACTTCTAATCAGCACACACAGCTTCTCTCTTGGGCCTTAGTCATTCTGGTTCGTCTCTTGTCTCTTTTCTTCCTCCTGCTACTATTTTTTGCTCTTGATTGCGCTGTTGTGATGAAGCCTCCCCGAGCTCTTGAGACTCTTATGCCTGACTCTCTTGCAAATGGTCTGTTTTTATTAATTTTATGCCATGACGCTGGTTGTATCTCATTAACTGTTTTGTCATTATACTTATTAACAATAAGAATGGTGTTCAGTTAAGAGGCATCCCCTATCAGTACGCTTCTCCTT